TTTGCCCAGGAAATCTGACTCATTTCTTGCAACATGTTCCAAAACAGCCACCGGTGACTCCACACATGTCGTGTTTTGTTAAGTTGTCAAAAGTTTGGGGATCCACTTTGCTGCCAGCTTTCTCATTTCCAAAACATTGTGGTTAATGGCACCAACTCTCTCTCGTGATGTTCTCAGATATACAGTATAGCAATACTTTTGGCTGATATTCCGCGGTCGTCCATGATCATGTCATGGATGGCTTCCATATTTGCAGGCAGAGACAGAAACACGCCTTCCACTGGGTTTCTCACCTTCAACACCGAAATGGCCAGTTTTAAAATTGACAACCCAACGTTTAACTATTGCATATGAAGGGTCACTGTCACCCATAGTTTGTGACATATCATCATGGATCTGCTTTGCACCTTTCCCTTGGAGAAACAGGAACTTGACTATGGTCCTATGCTCTTCCACATTGAACTTTTCTGGAGGTGCTGCCATGTTCACTTTGGACTTGAACATGAAAAATAAGTTAAAATCATAGGCAGTTGATTTTTGCACCATTGAATACAGATAAATTGGCCAATACACCCTGGAATTTATAGCTTCCTAGCTCAATTTTTTTTCTGGGAAAGGCTCAATACTTGTCAGGACTTGGAGTTTGCTGTCACCTATATACTGGTGATACCCAATTCTATTCCTCCTTTGCATCTATGTCTGAGATGCAGTTCTGGACCACTGTCTGGTTCCTTCCCCTGCAACAGAGTTAGAGGGGTATAGATGGGACAAACAAACAGAAATTTAAAACAGACAAGGCAGAAGGTCTACTGATAAGTGAAAAGGCAGATCAAGTATAGAGATTCAACCTGTGTTGCATGGAATTATGCCTCCTCCCCCCGACACCCAGGTTTGTAGTTCGAAGGTACTCCTGAAATAATAGCATTTTAATATTGTAACTGGTTTAAATTATTTTTACTGTGTGTTTTGTTGATACTTGTTCTTCAGCCACATTATAAATCATCTTGAGTCCCAGAGAAAGGTGTCATATAAAATAAATAAATAATGTCCATAGGTATGCAGGAATTCATGGTGAACTGTCAGTGCCTATTAAATGATGAATCTACTACAACAACAGTCATTGTTACACTGGTGTTAAGCAGCTGCACATCATCATGTGGTGCTTTTCACAGGATCCCTTAATTATCAGCAATTTGTTGCTGTGAGTTTATGCCATTTCCGTTCTGTCACTGTATCTATGCAATGGGATTTTGCCCACTAGAAGTCAGGGTTGCTCTTTATATAATCACGAGTTGCAGTGGCTGAATGGCTGTAATTAATAGTTGGCTGGGGAACGCACATGGAACAGTCTGTGTAGTCAGGCCAGCATTTCTCCTGCCTCACTGGATTTGCACAGCAGATAGGAGGGAGGGAGGGAGGGGGCTTTCCCCCTTTCTCATTGATTGGCCTCTTACTATTCTTTCATTAAATTTTCTTCTAGTTACTTCCAGTAGTAAAGAAATAACTGTGATAGCTATAAAGCTGCTTTAATTTTTACCTCATTCCAAGGGGTGTGTCAGATAGGCTTCCCTGTTTGAGACTGAGTCCTTTGCAAAGAAGACCTGGTTTTCAGGAAAATGCTACCTGTTGCGTTTTCTTTTCAAGCCCCTCAATACAGAAGGAGGAAACTGGTCCTGTAGGCATCTAAAGTTCTCTGGTCATTGATCACACTGTCTAGAAGTGATGGGACTTGTAATTCATCATCATCTGAAGGTCCACAGGTTCTTCACATATAGTTATTTTTTTACTACACAAAAAACAGACCACTCTGAATGTGAAAAGGTGGTATAGAAGGAAACCTTGATGCTGTGGTGTCACATGTTACAATGATTTCAAAAGATCAGCTGCAACAGATATGTATTTGAGACCTCACTTATTTTTCTTTAGTAGTTGAAAATATATTTTAGAGAGGATGTAAACTGCAAAATTGTTCCTGTGAGCTTCAAATTATGGGTCTAAGAATAAGGAAGACAAAATCGTTTTTACACCTTGAGTCCTTTTCTTGGCATTTTTGTTTCTGGTTTTATTTTCTCATTTGTTTTTTTTTTAATATAATGTCATATATTGCTTTTTCTGTGTAAGATTCACTAAGTACCACCACAATCTTGTTGTTGCTGAAATAGGGCTGCTGCTGTCTGAGCAGCCTAATAAAAGGCATTATATTCCTAAGCAGAAGTATAGGCTGGTAAATGGTACATTGCAGTCATTAGATAGATTCAGCTGCTGTGTTCGGGGACAACCCTTATGGTAAGGAACAAGCTTTAGATCTCTCTATTAGATTCCAGGGAAGTGCTTGGAAGAGTTTTTTGGATGGTTCTCTGAAGGAATGAAAAATTAGTCTTTTTAAAGTTCTCCAGAGCCATATACTGCTGCTGATGGATAGATATTTGAGGTGTGTGCACTAGCTGTTTTGCATATTTAATAGGTCTTTAAGAATTGAAGCGAACAGAACAGTTGTGATCAATTTAACTTAACCATATGAAAATGCCACCGGGAGAGTCTTGTAACAGAGGCTTGAAGTGTGTTTTCCCTTCCCATTGCAGGCTTATGAAAAGCGGTTTCCCACATGCCCTCTTATTCCCATGTTTGTCGGCAGTGATACTGTGAATGAATACAAGAGTGAGGATAGGGCTGTCCATGTGATTGAAAGGCGCTGCAAACTGGATGTTGATGCACCACGACTCCTGAAAAAGGTAACTGAATTCAGTTGATTTGAAGGCCTGAGCAGTTATTTGTCAAGCTACTTCTTTTCTAATGTAGTCTCTAATCTTTTCTCAGATTGCCGGGGTTGATTATGTTTACTTTATTCAAAAGAACTCCTTGAATAGAAGAGACCGCACTTTACACATAGAGGCCTACAATGAAACTTTCTCAAACAGAGTTGTCATTAATGAATGTTGCTGTTACACGGTGAGTAAGGACCAGTGTGAATAGAGCTTTTCTGGGCTTTCGGTAGATGTCTACTTTTGACCCTTTGTAGGAACATGGAGAACTGCATTATATGGAGTCAGGCCATTGATCTGTCTAACCCAATATTGCCAACTCTTACTAGCAGCAGCTCTCCAGAGTTTCAGAGATGCTTCTTTCCTAGCCCTGTCTGGACATATCTGATGTTCCCTGGTGGTTTAATGGTCAAATACTAATCAGGCACAACCCTGCTTAGTTTTCAAAATTAAATGAGGTTGGTGTGTTCTGAGTGCTGCAGTTGCCTTGCCTTATTAGGGAGGTGCTATATTGCACATAGGGGTTCCTGTCATTTTCTAGCTGCTTGAGTTTAGATGTAAGAACACACTGGAAAGTTATTCCATTAGACAGAATCCCACATTACTTTACACGGCCTAGTTTCTTATATTTGAACAGTCTTTGTGTTTGAGCAATACAGGCTGTGAACCTTGCATTTTCATTCTGGCTGGAAACATGCAATAGCAGATAACAAATTACCAATGTCTTATAGGCATCCATTTTTTCCCTCATGACTTCTTTTTTAAAAATCTGACTTGCAAAATGACGTAAAGAACTCTCTAATGTGCACAAGTTTTCATTCTTGTCAAGTGAAGTTTTAGCAGATGTGAAGGATTTCAGATTTTGTCCTTCACCTTGTTGGCTTTTGTATGTCAATGTGAACATCCTTGTTTTTATCCATCTTCCAGAAGAAACATTGGGGACCCCGTCAAGATGTTCTAAAATTCATAGAGCCATCCAATTTATTTACCCATTTTTGTTTGCATTTTGTGTAAAGATGGTGTTGCATAAGCACAGAAGGAAAGAAAAGAGAGTATTGATGTAGAAGAGAGTGTATGAGGTGTGCGCAGGACACAGTGCCCACCAAAATGCATTTGAATGTTTTTAGACATCGCAGTGAAACCAAACAACACTATTTCCATTGTAGAACATAAAGGGAAATAACAGTGCTTTGCTTATAGGTCCCTCTGACTGAAATTATTAGAAAGGCATTAGTCAGAATATGACATTTTGAGTACTATGCAAATAATTAATTCAGTAAGAGGCCAAGGTTTGGCCATCCTGAAGTGAAATCTTCATTTTTGACACATGTTTATTTGTAGCATTAATTGATAAGAGGAAAATAGGCTTAATACTTTGATTTTGATAAATACTGTCAATCCAGCTTTGCATTGGGTCAACCAGACTGTTACAATGCTTAGACCTTGACTAAAAACAGTACAGAATTATTGATTTCTGTATGGCAGTAGTTAGACTATTTTTGTTGAGATGGGGATGGCAAATTAGAAAAGGGCTAACAGTAGTAACTTCCATGTAGTCTCAAGTGTCAAATATAGAGAGTAGGCAGCTATTTACATCTTGACTTTCCTTTTCTGAAACGAGGCTAAAATATGGGGAATATCTGACTGCTTGCATCTTGCTTTCTCTGATCTTAAAACGGGAATAAAAATCAAGGAGACTCCAAGCTGCAAAATGTAGATTTTTACCAATTCTGCCATCTCCTGAGATCTTAGAGCTTATTGTTATATGGCTATATTTTGCTTGCCATGAATCTGTGTTGCCTATAGTTGCTCTTTCTTGGCAACCCTTGTTCCCGTAGTTTATATGCCATGCTACTGAAGCAGTCATTGTTGTGACAATCATGTTTTTTACACTGGCCATTCTATTACCTTTATTTTTCAACTTTTCAGGTGCACCCAGACAATGAAGACTGGACATGTTTTGAGCAGTCTGCAAGCCTTGATATTAAATCTTTCTTTGGCTTTGAGAGCACAGTAGAAAAAATTGCCATGAAACAATACACTAGCAATATTAAAAAGGTGAGCTTTCATGATTTTAGTTCTGTTGATACATACTTGAGGAAGGATTATTGTCATTTAAGACTAAAAGTAATTTTGAACCTATTTGGGATTGCTGCATGTTGTCCAGGTATGATTTTGTCATCTGGCTGCTCTCCTCCTCTGTTAGTTGTACATTTTAATGTGGATTATATGGGCAAAAATCTGTTCAGACTGGGACCAGCAAAATCTGAGTGTACACTGACTTGCTGTCCAGCACCTACTTATACTGATGTTTCTACCAGTCCCTGGAATAGATCATAAGGCTTCAGACTCTATTTTAGCAGTTTACATCAAAGTATTGCTTTTTTTTGTCTGAGAGCAGCCTTCCTTGACCTGGTTTCCCCTAGATGGTTTTATGCCACGACTCCCAGCATTCTTTACAATCAGAAATGGTGATTGTGGCTGATGGGAACATTCAGAAAGTGAAGGTTGGAAAAGTGTGCCCTGGAAGTAATTGGCCAAAGCTTCGGTGGCAGGATTTAGGGACATGTTTTGCTAACAGCTGTCAGATGTAAGGTACTTGGCTTATTGTACCCATGGTGTAAATTGTAGCCCCATTTTAAAGGGAGTTAAAGGTAGAAAGAGAGAATTGCAGTCTTATTCCCCTGCCTGTCACAATCTCCATGAGGAGAGGGACCCCCTGAAGTGGAAAACTTCTCTTTATATGTGGAATTTTCCTTCACATGGTTGGTGATCCTGAAAAAACAGGCTTTCCAATTATGTGCACATGTTCTATGCATAGCAAGCTGTACCCTTTTGATTGGGATAGGGCTAGAACTCTCCATTTGCACACTTTTCAGTTAGCTCTTTTTCAACTGCCTAAATATTGCTTATATATCTCTCACTGTGTGTGTGGGTGGGTGCCTTTTCAGAATCATGAGGGGAAATGCATTCTTTGCTACAGTAATTTCTGCTTAATGGTGGGTGGGTGATGCCAAGGGCAAGTGACAAATAGCATACTTCTTCCTTATAATAAAACTACTTTTCTGTAAGAAGGAGCCTGTAGAGTACAAGTATACTGATGCCTGTACAAACACATTGATAAAAGAACTGTGTTGCTTTTGAAGGGCAAAGAAATAATAGAGTACTACCTGAAGCAGCTAGAAGAAGAAGGAATAACGTATATTCCTCGTTGGACTCCTCCTGTTAAATACAACAATGACCATGGTAGATCTTATGTGAGACGACCACTATCCTCTCCAGTCAATGTACCTGAAACTGCCATTAAAGAGGGACTAAATCCCAAAGAAATGAACACTTGCAACAATGCATCGGATCCCACAGTTGGAACACCTGATGGTGCGTTGTTCGACTGTCGAGCCTTCTTGCACAACTGTTTTATGGCCTCTGCTATAGTCTCATGGAATGCTAATGGTACAGGAAGGAGTCTGTGCAGCCATGCTGAAAATGACAGATTTTTGTCAGTCTTACTAAAAATTAAATGAGACATAACAAATTATACCTACAACACCATAATTTTATCTAGTTTTTTGTGGGCGGGGGGAGGAAGGGTGACATTCTGTAGAGAGTGGAACGTATTTGAGCTATGAGATGCAGAAAGGACAGGGCTGATAGAATTTGATGGGAGAGCAAAGAGCAAATAGGGGCAGCACATTAAAAAAAGCATCTCAGTTGGAAAGGCTTTCCCAAGCTGACGGGGGATGACTTTGAACCAAAGGCCTTAGAATGGCAGTTCATTCCAAAAATTGCAAACACCTGTTTGCATTTCAGGTATGTGTTCAAAAGGTGGCTTGTTAACTCATCTAGTGTTATCCTCTTTAAAACCATTGTGTTTCTACTATTTTAGATAAGCTGGATGCAGACTACATCAAGAGATATCTGGGTGATTTGACACCCCTTCAGGAAAGCTGCCTCATCCGGCTTCGTCAGTGGCTCCAAGAAACACACAAAGGCAAAGTAAGAATCTTTCTCTTTGCTGGACTTCCTGTCCATTAGAAAAGTTCGTATAGCCTGCAAGATTATCTGAAATCTTGGGGATGGACATTTATACATGCTGACCTTGAACTTGTTTGAGCCTGATACCTTTGGGGATATATTTTGTGGGCTCAGAAGGTCTAAATCTTTAAATCTGCTTCCCCAACTTCGGAGTCCAGCCGCTTTGGTACTCAAAGGAAGTAAAGCTTTGTCTTTGTAGCCTGGAGATTCTTTTTGTAATGCTAAAGTTTATGAAGCCTCTACAGCTTTACTAGTTTTACAGTGAGAGGATTTCCTCTACTGGTGTAAGGATTATTGACATGGAAGAGTTGTCCCTTTAACCAATGCCAGGGTAGTTGTTTTTGCAAAGAATCTTCTGATATCTTAAAGACGAATAAGTTTTACTTGGCAGAAGTTTTTGTGAACTGTGATCCACTGTGGGTAACGCTGGCTGCACTGGGCACAGTGTTTAAAAGTGCACCAGAACATATGTTTGGATGAGTGGTTCTTTTCTGCAGATACCATATCCCTTTCTCTTTTTCTTTGTGGAAAGCTATCTGTATTAATGTGTACATTTATGGGACATTTTTAAAATAAAGGACAGCCTATCGTGGTGGCAGAATTGAAAAGAATGAATGAAATCTTACATTCTCTCTCGCTCGCTCCCTTCCTTACCATCAGGCAAATTAATAATATTGTAAGACTGATATATGAGGGTTACTTTGCAAGTTGTGGTTATTATTCCTCTTAACACTAGCAAATAAATATTTTCAGCTGTAGAGATAAATTTTTGAAATCTAGGTTAAGCAATTTTGTTCTTTCGTTTTTGCAGATCCTACCTAGCCCACTGGTTCCCTCCCTGCTTATTTTTTTACTGCCTGCTTTACAACTCAAAATCTCCTTAGTTATTTCCCCAATATTTGCATAGCAGGCTGATTTACACTGCAGATGTGTCCCACTTTAATTCTACTACCAATGCACATTGAAGCTCTTGACAGCCTTCTAGTCTTCCGCTTGTCCCCAGTATCCTTTTAATTATCTTGTCTGAATTATTGTCTCTTTTTCTGTGCATAAAGCCAAGGAAATAATGGCTTATCCTTTAGCTAGTTTTTTTCAGTCTCCTTTTAACTTAGAGCCCTTATTACCCCAGTCTTGCTGCTCATCTTTTAAATACACATTTTAAATCTGGTCTGGTTCTAGACAACATAAAGTAATGTTTTTAGAATGGCGCTGAACAGTTCAACAGGAGCCAGTAATCCTCTAATGCTGCTAGAGAAAAGAAAAAAAAGATTTTATACAATGAAGCAAATTTAGCAAAACCTAATTTAGCAATTAAACCAGTGTTTTCCAACCTTGGGTCCCCAGATGTTCTTGATCTAAAACTCCCAGAAGCCTTCACTAGGGCTGGCCTGGAGTTCTGGAAGTTGTAGTCCAAGAACATCTGGGGACCTAAGATTGGGAACCACTGCATTAGACAATGAAGCAAAGTTAGGAAAACCTGAAACAAGCTTTCCGTCTCTCTTTAATTTCTGGGGAGACATGGACAACAGGTTGGGAAGAGATTTTCTTCTATTTCTATTGTCCATAAATTAGACTAATAAAGGAGGCCTACTAAGGACCTCCTCAAGATTTTTGTACCCAATCGTGTGTATGCTCCAGAATAGAAGCTGCACCTTTAAGTGGCTGCGTCTTGTTACTGCGTTAAGCACAGCTATTTAGTTTGTAAGTTGGGGTGGGTGGGAAGCAGAGTCCTCCCTTTTTAAGATGAACCCACCACATTCTTTCCTTCTTTTGTCTTCTCTCACCCAGACAATATGAAATACATTCAGGAGAGTCTGCTCTTTCTGTTACCTCAACAGTAGCTCCCCCACAAACCTTTTTCCAGCCTTTGCATTTCTGGAATTGGAATACAAAGATGGAAATGGCACGATCAAAACATTTTCTGGGATGGGGAGTAACAGTTCTCATTATTAATTCTGTACTCTTTGTGTTCTATACTGTTTGTGTTTTTCCAAGTCTTGTGAATAGCAAACGATCAAAACATCTTCTGGGATGGGGAGTAACAGTTCTCATTGTTAGTTCTGTACTCTTTGTGTTTTTCCAAGTCTTGTGAATAGCACACATGTGTACAGGAGAGAGATGTCCCTCCTAAGGTTGATACAGTGAAGAAAAAGCATATCATTAGAGATGGGTGTATTTGACAGCATCTTAAAAAGCAGAGACATACTGTAATTAGAGATGGGTGTATTCGTATTCTTGTATGGATACGAATATCCGCACACAGCTGGACTTAACGAGGGTCCAGTCCTTGATGCTGGACCATCAGCTCATCCTTCCAATCACTCCTGGAGCACCACTCTTTTCCCACTCGGCTGGTCACTCAGCAGCCGTGCAGGTAGACTCGTCTTCCCTCCCCCCTGCCTGGACTGCTAGCCGAGCAGGACGAGAGCGACACTCCGGGAGTTATTGGAAGGATGAGCAAGGCACCGAGCAGGAGGAGAGCGACACTCCGGGAGTTACTGGAAGGATGAGCAAGGCTGCTGCCACCAGACCTGGGCTCTTATGAGTCTAGCTGCGCGGGGATATTTGTATTTATATACAAATATGAATACCCCTATCTCTACATATAATGCTTATATGATCTCATCCAGAGTACTATATATTTTCTCAGATATACATTTTGCTTTGAAATGCAGAGTAGAAGCTTAAATACAAATATAAATAATGCCCAGAATCCTACTGCAAAATATTGCATGCGTAAGGGAAATTACACAAGTGAGTTTTGCTGGCTATGCATTGCACCTTCAGAAATGCAGCTATTTCATTTTTTAATTTACACTGTGAAACCACAACAGGATTCCAGTCAAAAATTGCCTTTGTTCCACACAGATATATGTCATTTTATATCTCAGTAAATGATCATGGTGGCACTCTTAGTTCTTTGTACAGGAGGTGGAAAACAGATATCCTCCTGCTTATCAAAAACAAATTAGCAGCCGTGCAGGTAGACTCGTCTTCCCTCCCCCCTGCCTGGACTGCTAGCCGAGCAGGACGAGAGCGACACTCCGGGAGTTATTGGAAGGATGAGCAAGGCTGCTGCCACCAGACCTGGGCTCTTATGAGTCTAGCTGCGCGGGGATATTTGTATTTATATACAAATATGAATACCCCTATCTCTACATATAATGCTTGTATGATCTCATCCAGAGTACTATATATTTTCTCAGATATACATTTTGCTTTGAAATGCAGAGTAGAAGCTTAAATACAAATATAAATAATGCCCAGAATCCAAAATATTGCATGCGTAAGGGAAATTACACAAGTGAGTTTTGCTGGCTATGCATTGCACCTTCAGAAATGCAGCTATTTCATTTTTTAATTTACACTGTGAAACCACAACAGGATTCCAGTCAAAAATTGCCTTTGTTCCACACAGATATATGTCATTTTATATCTCAGTAAATGATCATGGTGGCACTCTTAGTTCTTTGTACAGGAGGTGGAAAACAGATATCCTCCTGCTTATCAAAAACAAATTAAACCTTTTATAAATACCATTTACAGATTCCGAAGGATGAGCACATCTTGAGGTTCTTGCGTGCTAGAGATTTCAACATTGACAAAGCCAGAGAGATCCTGTGCCAGTCATTAACGTGGCGCAAACAGCACCAGGTGGACTACATTTTGGATACTTGGAACCCTCCTCAAGTCCTGCAAGATTACTATACAGGAGGCTGGCATCACCATGACAAAGGTATATTGCAGGTTTATGGAATACTTTTTATGTAGGTAAGCCTCAGAGAATCTGTCAGAAAAAGATCAGGTGGAAATCAAAATGTACAATGCACAATCATCCTTCATGAAGTTGGTATGCACCCTTCTATAAGTAGCGTGAGTGGGGAAAGAAAAGGTTGAGGGAACATCTCCCTCTCCAAGATTTTCCTTACGTTTAATTACTATCCTGGACCAATTGAAGCTTCAGGCCACTCACCATGATGTGGAGATATCCAGGGATAGTGTGTGCATTGCATACAGTAGTACTTTGCAACCTTGGCTCACAGCACATCCTGTCTTCACAGCCTCTTTGACATTCTTCTGGAAAGCATTTTTAAACCAGCTCTTAAAATAAGTATCACAATACTTCCTTCCACTATTCCTGCAGATTCATAGTTCTGAAGGGGTGGGCAGTGTTTTCACATTTAGTTTATTGTGATACATATAATAGGACAATATAGTAAGCATGATTAGACAAGAGGTGATAGAAAGCAAGCAATACTAGCAATAATAGTGCTTCGTGTTAGCAGGCTTGTATTAAATCATTCTTCGTGTTCTCTGTGAATGCGCACTAATGGGTTTTATCTGCGCCTGCACAGAGGTTTCCGGAATCTTCTAGAGCTTAACACTGTTTGCTAGGACTGCCCCCCTAGTACACGTGATCCGCCCATCCTGGCAAGTGCCTCAGTTCCTTTTTGCTGCCGCTGAGGTTTCTTTTCTTCGACGAGCTCTGTTTGCTAATCTGTTCAAAAGGAATTTCTGAGAGACTTTGTGCTTTTTCTCTGGCCAGGCTCTTAAATTAAGACAGCAGCGTCCCCGTTCTTACTGTGGTAACGTTCTCTTCACTCTTCACCGAATATGGAATCCATACTGCCACCACCACCTCTTTTACCATCTTTGGGCACTTCTGTGGCCTCCTCAGTAAAGTCTAAATCCAAGGCGAAACTGCCTGCCAAGACTAAGTCTGGTGGTTCAACACCCAAATCTACACCAGTAATGAAATCTCCCTCGCTACCAGAATAGTAGCCGAAACCGAAGAAATCCAAAAAGTCGTCTTCTGCTGCACAGTCTATTAAACATCAGAAAGACAGACTGGTCTCTTCGGTACCACTTCATGAGCAGCAGACTACAGTGGTGCCTCGACTTATGAACTTAATCCATATTGGAATGGTGTTCATAAGTCGAAATGTTTGTAAATTGAAGCACCATTTCCCATAGAATGCATTGAAAACTGATAAATCCGTTCTAGCCAGAAAAAAAATCACCAAAAATTAAAAAGAACACAGCAAGCCCGGTTGGAAGGTGCTCCATTACTGAGGTTTAAAAAGAAAAAAACCCTCCAAAAACTAACACTAAAATCACCTCAGTTGCTGAGGTTTAAGAAAAACCTCCAAAAATAAACAGCAAAGCCCCAACAACACAGCACAATACCCGCCCCAGCCAAAACCCACCCAGAACAGTTTTTTTAAAAAGGAGAAACAGCAGCTTGCCTCCCTACACACACACACATGCACATACACACACATTCACTCCGAAGCAGAAGAAGGCAGTGGCTTTAGCTCGCCAAGAGCACATCACAGCCAGACATATCATAGACACTGCCTCAAGACACATGTCCACTGCTGTCGCCCTTAGAAGGCATGCCTGGTTATGCTCTGCACATATTTCTGATGATTCCCGCATGCGTATTGAGGACTTACCCTTTGATCAGGTTGGCCTCTTCGATACCAAGATGGATGAAATTCTTGACAATCTACAGAAAATGAGAAAAACTGCAAGATCTTATAATACACAATACTGCTACAAACCACAACATTATCAATGGTGTTGACCATATCCCTACCAACAATACAAACCATTTGTTGACAGAGATACTTACCGCAGTCTGCCTCATCCTTCCAGCCTTGCCGGAACAATCAGCACCAACATCCACATCAGTCTTTCATAGACCTGACAAGAAACTAAAGCAAAAATTTTGACTCTTATCCAGCCCAGTTCTCTACTTTTCACTCCCCTCATACTTATTTGACTTGCCTGGCACCTCATTTCACATCGTGGGCGACCATCACCACAGACAAATGGGTATTCACCATCATCGCCACAGGTTATGCTATAGAATTGGCTACCCTCCCACCATCAAGAACTGTTCTTACTGCACTGTCTCACATTCTGAATCGTGAGGTTCAGTCTCTCCTTTCAAGAGATGCTGTGTCACTAGTTTTTCCATCAGATGACGACCCAGGTTTTTTTCTCAAGGTACTTCACAGTACCCAAGAAAGACGGAGGCCTTCGCCCTGTCCTTGACCAGCAAGATCTCAGTTATCACATTTTCCAGCACCACTTCCACATGGTAACCCTAGAACGCATCCTACCACTCCTTCAGCTAGTCAACTGGTTCGCAGTAATAGACCTAACAGACGCCTATTTTCACATCAATATTCATCACGATCACATAAAATTTCTCAGATTCTCACTAGGAAACACCGTCTACGAATTCAAAGCCCTCCCATTCGGACTTTTTACCGCTCCTTGCGTTTTCACAAAGTGCATGGTCCCCGTGGTAGCCTATCTCCACACACAAGGGATTTCCATCTTCCCTTACATAGATGATTGGTTACTTGCAGCCCCCTCCCGTCTTCAAGCTCTGCACGACATAGACTTAGAGAATCTGGGCTTAAAGGTCAACCGAACCAAATCTACACTCATTCCTTCACAACAGGTGGTCTACATGGGGCAATTCTAGATTCTCGATCAGTGAGAGTCTTTCTTCCCCAAGAACGGGCTATGAAACTGTACGCTGCGATTCAACAGTTCTGTCCCCTTGCCTCGCATTACTGTTTGGATCTACGGGCAAAGACAGACACGATGTTTGGATGAGCGGTTTTGTCAGCTGCTCTTCCATGACGTCCCTCCTCCGGATAGGTAAACTTGCTAATCAGCCATTAGTGTTCATTCACAGAGACCACAAAGAAGAAAGAGAAATTACTTCCCATAAGTCTGGTTCTTCAAGTGGTCATCTGTGAATTCACACTTCCTGCCCATCCTTCCCTCTGTCCGTCATGTCAAAATTTTTATACAGCGCCAGACTTTGTGGGAACTGAGGCACTTGCCAGGATGGGCAGACCACATGTACTAGGGGGCGGTCCTAGCGAACAGCTCTAGAAGATTCTGGAAACCTCTGCGCAGGCTAAAACACTAAAAACCCATTAGTGTGAATTCACAGATGACCACTCGAAGAACCAGAGTTACGGTAAGTAACCTCTCTTTATGGAAAAAGGGGGAAAAACCACTAACAATCCTGCCTAGCTCATGAAAACTCAAACCGGTGCCTTCCTTTAATGAGTTAATCCATCTCATATTTCATCATCATCTTGGAACTGCAGAGCTGGAAGGGGCCTTTTGGCTTCCTCTTTTTCTGCTTCCTTCAGCTTTTCCCAGCATTATTGTTTTTTTTCCAGTGAGTCATGCTTTCTCATGATATGCCTAAAGTATGACAGCTTATTTCAGCATTTTGCATTCAAGCTTGATTTCATCTAGGCCTACCAACACCCCTGCCTTCCCACTTAATTTGGCTACCAGAGGTCACAGAAAGGGTTTGTTTATTATTATTATTTTGTTAAATAGCAACAACACACCACTGGCTAGAATCCTTTTGGCAGTTTACAAATGCATAAGTATATGGTATAAATTTTGGTGTAAATTGACGCTAATTAATGAGATGCCAGATGCATTCCTAGTTGTGGGTCCATATATATATTAAGTGAGGAAGTAATCAAGATTTAGCAATGGGCATGCGTGATCTCTGGATCTCTGGGAATTGTCCAGCTCTGGCTTAAAGTATTAATGGAACCTAAAAGGAGTGTTTCTCATTTTCACCTCGCCCTAGGCTGTTTGATTAAAAATGCTTGCTTTTTTTGAGGGGGGGGTTTCTGTGTGAAAGGAGGTAACCATTTCTTTTGATAGAAACATGGATGATTAAGTGTTTCTAGTGTTCCACATTTAAAATGTCTTCCTAATGACTTTTTGGTGGATATGTGCATACGCAATCTGCTAAAATGGCAATTTTTTTTGTTTTGTTTCTTTTCAGATGGGCGTCCACTCTATGTTCTGAGACTGGGCCAGATGGATACCAAAGGTCTGGTCCGAGCGCTTGGGGAAGAAGCTTTGCTCCGCTATGTAAGTGCATGAGAAGATGTTGGCTTTGATAGCGGAGGCATGGGAGCTTCCGTGTTGGTGCTCTGGTTTGTACGAGAATGATGATCACAAATGATTTTGCTCTCTGGCTTGTGGTTGGTTTGAACAATAGCAGAGTAGCCAGCTTCACTTCAGACTGCAGATGGGAAAAGTAAAATTTTAAAATGTTAGCCTGTGTGTGGTTGGGGGTGGGAAGATCTTTGCAAGCACAGACAAACCAAAGGCAGAGGAACAGTACTAGGCCAGCTGCTCACTGCTTCACTTGTTTTCTGATTTATTTGACAGTCAGCACGCTAAAAAATGTGATTCTCTACTTGCGGTCTGAAGTACTACCTGTCCCCTCTAACACCATGGGCATTTCCACAGTATGCTAGGTGAGGCTGAACCTTAGAGGGGTTGTGTTGAATGTCTGCAGCTTTATGCAGCATTGAGAATATGGATTCGCAAGCGCTCTGCTTACAAAAGATTTCCAGTCTGCCCCTGTAATGATGATAATTATAACACCAACAGCATCAACAGTCGTAGTCATAGCAGTAGTAATGCCATCGGAAAAAAACAGTTGGTATATGTTCTTTGTAGCCTCCTTGCCACCAGTTTATGTGGAGAATGTGGTGAGTTGTATACGTGATATAAAACACTGAAAGCTGGGGTTCCGTAGTACAAAACAGATAGAATTCGCTCTTGCTATTTCAGGCTTTTGGTGGGGAGGACTCTCAATTATGTTTGTGCAGAGTTGGAGGTAAGTTAGTTGATACTGCTCAAGGATTATTACAAGACAGCTTCTCGAAATTTCACTGTGCCCCAGTGTCAAACACAACGACAGAGGTGGTTGGATAGAAATAAAAGCAGAAAAATGTTAAATGACGATATGCCACTTAGAAATGTATGTATCCCTGTGAGTACTTCTCATGTTATGATCATTTGAAATATAAAATTAATGCAACCATCTTAGTAATTTGGAATTTACAAGAGAGGTTAATAGTGCATTGCTATAGAGGCAAGTCCCACCAACTTCAGGTAAATGAGTATAGGATTAGATTCAAGGGTAAGATTTTTAGATAAACAATAAAGACATGTTTGACTAGGGTCTGAATGTCAGCATATTGGCAAAATATATTCATGATTTTTATGTTTCTTTTCTCACGTGACTAGCACTACTTTTACTGTAAAAGTAGAGGACTGGTGGTAGAAGAAAAACCAAATGCCAGCCTTGGTCCTAGAAATTCTGGATAGCTCAGTAGTTTTTAGACATCTGGCCGTGGAGTCGGAGAAGGGAGTTTGATTCCCGACTGTGCCTCCTTGACAGACTCTGGACTTGATGTTCTATAGGGTCCCTTCCAGCTCTGCAGTTCTAAGAGGAGGAGGAGGATTTTGTAGCAGCCTCTAGACAGGCATCTCTTTTTGTTTATGCTTTTATGTAGGTTCTGTCTATAAATGAAGAAGGACTGAGAAGGTGTGAAGAAAATACAAAAGTGTTTGGAAGACCTATAAGGTAAAGGAGAATAATCAGTATTTCATCACACTGTGTCACAAACCATGTAGAGATATTCCATGATAATCTAAATAATAGTTCTTTACCTCATCCTGAGATTGTGAGTGCTAGGTTAATGTAGGAGGCATACTAGTGAAATTGAGAATCCCCCAAACCAAATTTCCATCTTCTAATGTGGCCCAGGGAAGGTGAAAGGTTGGACACCCCTGATCTAAATAATATTTCTTTGCCTCGTCCTGAGATTATGAGTGCTAAATTAATTTAGGAGGCATACTAGTGAAATTGAGAATCCATATAGGTCTGGTATTCCATGCATTATATATCCACTAGCACTAGAAAACAGAATCCATGAATAGAAATCTTTTTATTGTGAAATACCTTGAGGGGAAAAGAGGCTCTATGGCAAGACCTGAGGGCATGCAGTGCATTTATTTTGTTTTGCCCTTCAGCTGATCTGGACTTGATCAGTCTGGGAGGTTTATTTTGGGAAGTCCCATGCCTTGAGTTCATAGTGGAACAAAGGTAGAATGTGAACATATTAGCCGCATAACATTAAGGGAATGCCTAGCAAACCCCTCATATTCTGCAAAAATTCAAAGTGTGAAATGGAACAACATCCACTCCGCAAAGCCCAGCAAATGTTTAGAGTGAATTGTGGACGTGAATTGTTCTTTCAGTTTCTAAGATAGAAGTCCCCTGAAGTAGAAAAATCATAAGTAGCTGAATCGGTACAGCACTAAAATCTTAGGCAGCTGAGACAGTTCATATTGATGCACTACCCAAAACCCTTCTAGGCTATCTCACTTCTGTTTATTTTTGTGGAAACAGATCAATCTAAGTTGAAGAGTTCTTGAAAACGTGGAAGTTCACTTTCTACTCCATGACATTTTGTTGGTCCTTATCATTTGTATTTTTAATTAGTTACATTTCCATCCTCGCCAAGAGTATTCTGGCAATGCTTCTTGTCCTTTTCCTTGGTGTAGCCGTTCAGACCCTGGCTGTTAGGCAGTAGTGTCTAACTAAGAGAGTGAGGCTGGGCAGCTGCCCCAGGGAGGCATGTTTGCTCTAATAAGCTCTGAATGAACTCACACTTGCCATATATGCACTTCAAAGCAGAAGGCAAGACAATGATTCTGTAGGCAAGCCATGAGAATTTGGTATGTCCAAGCTCAAAACATTTCAGTTACACTTATATTGAATGCCAGTTAAGGCATTCATAGGCCAGAGGAAGAACTTACTAGGCTCCCTGGGGCCTAAGCGCAAGGCGTTTTCCTTGCCTTGTGTCCATGACAAGAACTGTTCACCAGCCCTAAAAGACAGTTGCATGGAGGGAAAGGGGGGGGGTGTAGGTGGCCCTGGAGGTGAGGAATGGCCACAGTGGCTAGCATAAAATAGCCTTGTAGTTGGCTGTTATAACAGAATTCTGCATACATAAGATCAGGGTGGGGATGGGGCTGGAAGTTACATTTTTAATAAAAAATATTAAGTCTCTTGCTTTTTTTTCTTCCTCGTGGGGGCAAAACAGTGCCTGGACCTGTTTAGTGGACCTAGAGGGCTTGAATATGCGGCACTTGTGGAGACCTGGCGTCAAGGCCTTGCTGAGGATCATTGAGGTGGTGGAAGCAAATTATCCGGAAACCCTGGGGCGTCTTCTCATTCTGCGAGCTCCCAGGGTATTTCCTGTCCTTTGGACCCTGGTAAGTGGCTCTACGTTTGTCTCTTCCAAGAGCAGATATGTACTTTGAAGTAGCCAAGACAGCATACGCCAGCTTGTTTTCTAAAGGGTTCTTAAAAGAAGAAATCTGTCTAGGCCAGTGGATCTGTGAAGTGCCGCTGCCCTTCCTCTCCTTTTCTTAAAAAATTGCTCAAAAAACTTTTTTTTTACCTTGAAGGAGGTGTGGGAGGCAGGTTTTGCCATGTTTGGGGGCTCCTGGTACCACACACACAGAAACCAAAATGTTGTAATTTTTAAAAAGTGGGACAGTAGAGACCACTGGGGGTGTTATCAAACTATATAGAACTATAAATAAATTTAAAAGAAAAATATTGGGGCGGGGCATGGGAATAGGGTGGCCCTCCAAGGTCCAGTGGGGCCCTTCAGCCTTTGTCAGCTGTTCACCCTGATCAAGCCAGTAACAAATAGGTGGCCTGGTGGACTAATGGATGTCATGTTCACCATTTGTATTAACAAAAGCAAAAAATGCAGGCATTTAATGACCTGGGAATTTTACAAACTCTGAAATTTATTTGCAGGTCAGTCCATTTATTGATGACAACACTCGAAAGAAATTCCTAATTTATGCTGGCAATGATTATCAAGGTCCTGGTGGGCTGCTGGATTATATCGACAAAGAAATTATTCCAGATTTCCTTGGAGGAGAATGCATGGTACATTAAAGTATTGTAAAGTATTGTAAAGCAGTAAAGTATTGTAGGACTGTTCCATGTGTATTATAACAAAAGATGAAAGATCATACTGATACACGTAATGTTTTTAAACTCTCTTAATTCAGTGTATATTCACTATGATCTGATATGAATAGACTGCAATTTCTAGGCCTTTAATTGATCATAAGAAATGCCAGAGGTTTTTAAACTAAAACACAGCACTGCTGTTTTGCATTGCTGTATTAATTTACATATACAACTAAAATCATACATTATCTGTTGACTAGTAGAAATCATTTTTACTGTAGTGGCTATACAAATGAACAGGGAAAACTCCAGTCTCTGTCTGGCCTCAGCCATCAGAGTAACTTGAACTAGAGCAAACTATTCTCTTTCAAATACAGCCATTCCTCATTTAGTCTGGGAGTAATAAGAGAGGTCGTATAAGACTGTTAAAAAAATCAGGCAAACCTAGAAGGCAAAGGTCTTCAAAACTCTGAAGCACTATGTAATTACAAATTATGACTGCCCATGTGGTCTTCATTCTATTAAGAAGTAAGTGCTGACATTCTGTATCAGATCAGCTCAGATTTGCTGTTCAGCAACAATTTAATTTGTGCTTATTCATTGAAATCAAAGAGCTCTTCACAGTGAAAAGAGTCAGAATGATTGTCTAGTGTATTCTTATATTTGAGCAGAGATTGAATGCTGATTTCTGTGCCTTTTCCCCACCCCCACATTTCTACAGTGTGAAGTTCCAGAGGGTGGGCTGGTTCCCAAATCTTTGTATCGAACAGCAGAAGAACTAGAAAATGAAGACATAAAGCTCTGGACGGAAACCATCTACCAGTCTGCAAGTGTCTTCAAAGGAGCTCCCCATGAGGTATGTTTTCTTGTTCTCTTTCTCGTATACAGTTGCCTACAATGGAAAGACAAACTGGCCCTTTTGCAGCAGCTTTATAGTCTTTGAGTTGATTTAGGTGACACTTCACCTCACTTCCTCTTGAAAATAATTGCTTCTGTGAACTGGGGATTTCAGCAAGATTGAAATTTTGAGTCAGGAAGAAAATTGCTTCCAATTTCCTCCACAAGGAGAAAGAGCTCAGCTCTTATGCGGTGCTCCTGTTTTGCTTCTCATGCAAGTTTTAATCAAATTTCAAGCAAATTTCTAAAAACCATAGCTGTCCCAAATAGTAATGATGCCAAGACCCATGTCCTGACCTGCCTTAGTACTTGAGCACTGCACACAAAATCATTTTCTCCTGTACAGAGAACAAGAGAAATGATCATACCTTTTTACCTATGCAGCGAATTTTGAATAGTATTGACCAAATTGGCATATTTTTTAAAATCTTCTTAAAGTAGGTAATAATTAATGAAATATCCATGTTGTTCACTCACAAAATAGTTTCCCAGCACTATTATAACCCACTAATCCCCAAAGGAGCAAGAGAAGTCTCTTGATCTATGTAAGACATATTTCCGTTTGAGCCCCTCTGACCCCTATCAGGTCAGTTGGTTTCCCGTCTTCCATTCTCTGTTCCAGAGAAATGAGAATGAAGGAGTTTGTGACAGCACAGGATCTATTAAATCAGATGAGGACTTATGAACAACAGCATTGAACTGTCCCAAACTAGTTCACTTCATTCTTTGGTTACACAGTTTTGAGTCCTTCCCTTCTGGGTGTTCACCTCCAGTAACTAGTCCTGGGCTTGCTGGTGGAATTGCTTTGGTCAGGCTACACAAGATGTGGTGCAGGAAGTACTGCTTATAAACCCACACTAGGGACAAACCTGCTGATCCCTGTCTCCTGCTCCCCTCTGGGTTATTGATGGTTGTGCCTGACAAGTTCACTGTCACCTTCCACCAGGGTCTATCTGTGGATGCTGTCAGTTCCCTGAGAGATCCCTCTTGGGCTTGGCGGTGTCTCTCCCTTCTTTCCCACTCACCCCAGTCAGAAGGCTTTTGGCATTTTCTCCTTCCTCTTTCCTGTGCTGCCTTTAAGCTGTCTTTTAGAGTCTCCGTTCCCAACAGGTCCTTTTTCTCCTCCAGGGCTCGTTTTCCTTTTCATGGGCTTTCTTCCTTTCCCAGACTTGCTGATTTCCCCCAGGGAGTCATATGCCAACACAGGCTCTCCCAGATCTACCAGGGAGCTTGTGGTATGAAACTCTTCAGGTCCAGGAAAAGATGAGATGGCCTTCTGACAGGGGGCCTCCCGTGCCTCTATAGTCTGTTTTGAAGCAGCAGATTTTATTCTGCAGGTCAGATTTTTTAAAGGTAAAATGAATAATCAGATTGTGCAATAACAATTTGGCTATATGTGCTGTCTAAAAATGTGATGCTATTCACAAATATCATTTTGTCAGATGGAAAAGCAATTAATATTCTTCTCTAGTTTAGCAAGACACTCTTAGCAGTTACTGTAACAAATGAAGACACAGAGGATGGATACTTAGAGGAGTCATGTATGGGAATTCTGATGGGAGTGCCACAGTGTGTATCCTCTCATCAGACAGTTTCTGCCTCGGCTGAGCTTTCAATACAGTCTTTTTTCCCCCTTTCTCTAGATTTTTATCCAGATTGTGGAAGCTTCCTCCGTGATCACTTGGGATTTTGATGTTTGCAAAGGTGACATTGTTTTCAACATTTATCACTCCAAAAGAGCACCACAGCCTCCGAAAAAGGACTCTTTAGGGGCCCACAGTATTACCTCTCCTGGTGGCAATAATGTACAGCTGATAGACAAAGCCTGGCAGCTGGGGCGAGATTACAGTATGGTGGAGTCTCCACTTATCTGTAAGGAAGGAGAGAGCGTGCAGGTGAGAACAATGAGCGCAATCTGTACTCTTGATTTGTGACAAAATGCTACCAGAGGCCATCTGAAAATAAGGCATTCCAAGCATTCCAAGCTTCTCAGTAATGGCAGTCAAAGGTAACAGGTGAAATGAGATCTGGAAAAACATTTAAGCTACAACAAAAACATTGTAATAATGTGGAATCTATAAAGACTGATGGTTTGTCTCATTTGAAGTCTACATCAGTCAGGTGATGGACACTAGCCTGCAGAGCACCAAATCTAGAGCATGTCTTATTAATGCTTTTATTGGAAATTATCTTAGGATAGTCCTTCTCAAACAGTTTTACTTCTGGTCCCCCCACCCCTGTAAATGTCTTTGTCCTCTGCCTCCACTCTAAATCATATGCAAACCATCTGATTCACAGCAAGACATTCAGAGATCCTTGTATGTGTATTGGCCTCCTATAAGGATATATTCACTGGGAAGTATATCCAGCTCAGCAAGGTACCATCAATTGCTCCTCAAAAACCATAGGAAGAAACCAATAAAACAAAGCTTAATTTAGGTCTTCAAAACTCTGAAGCACTATGTAATTACAAATTATGACTGCCCATGTGGTCTTCATTCTATTAAGAAGTAAGTGCTGACATTCTGTATCAGATCAGCTCAGATTTGCTGTTCAGCAACAATTTAATTTGTGCTTATTCATTGAAATCAAAGAGCTCTTCACAGTGAAAAGAGTCAGAATGATTGTCTAGTGTATTCTTATATTTGAGCAGAGATTGAATGCTGATTTCTGTGCCTTTTCCCCACCCCCACATTTCTACAGTGTGAAGTTCCAGAGGGTGGGCTGGTTCCCAAATCTTTGTATCGAACAGCAGAAGAACTAGAAAATGAAGACATAAAGCTCTGGACGGAAACCATCTACCAGTCTGCAAGTGTCTTCAAAGGAGCTCCCCATGAGGTATGTTTTCTTGTTCTCTTTCTCGTATACAGTTGCCTACAATGGAAAGACAAACTGGCCCTTTTGCAGCAGCTTTATAGTCTTTGAGTTGATGTAGGTGACGCTTCACCTCACTTCCTCTTGAAAATAATTGCTTCTGTGAACTGGGGATTTCAGCAAGATTGAAATTTTGAGTCAGGAAGAAAATTGCTTCCAATTTCCTCCACAAGGAGAAAGAGCTCAGCTCTTAAGTGGTGCTCCTGTTTTGCTTCTCATGCAAGTTTTAATCAAATTTCAAGCAAATTTCTAAAAACCATAGCTGTCCCAAATAGTAATGATGCCAAGACCCATGTCCTGACCTGCCTTAGTACTTGAGCACTGCACACAAAATCATTTTCTCCTGTACAGAGAACAAGAGAAATGATCATACCTTTTTACCTATGCAGCGAATTTTGAATAGTATTGACCAAATTGGCATATTTTTTAAAATCTTCTTAAAGTAGGTAATAATTAATGAAATATCCATGTTGTTCACTCACAAAATAGTTTCCCAGCACTATTATAACCCACTAATCCCCAAAGGAGCAAGAGAAGTCTCTTGATCTATGTAAGACATATTTCCGTTTGAGCCCCTCTGACCCCTATCAGGTCAGTTGGTTTCCCGTCTTCCATTCTCTGTTCCAGAGAAATGAGAATGAAGGAGTTTGTGACAGAACAGGATCTATTAAATCAGATGAGGACTTACGAACAACAGCATTGAACTGTCCCAAACTAGTTCACTTCATTCTTTGGTTACACAGTTTTGAGTCCTTCCCTTCTGGGTGTTCACCTCCAGTAACTAGTCCTGGGTTTGCTGGTGGAATTGCTTTGGTCAGGCTACACAAGATGTGGTGCAGGAAGTACTGCTTATAAACCCACACTAGGGACAAACCTGCTGATCCCTGTCTCCTGCTCCCCTCTGGGTTACTGATGGTTGTGCCTGACAAGTTCACTGTCACCTTCCACCAGGGTCTATCTGTGGATGCTGTCAGTTCCCTGAGAGATCCCTCTTGGGCTTGGCGGTGTCTCTCCCTTCTTTCCCACTCACCCCAGTCAGAAGGCTTTTGGCATTTTCTCCTTCCTCTTTCCTGTGCTGCCTTTAAGCTGTCTTTTAGAGTCTCCGTTCCCAACAGGTCCTTTTTCTCCTCCAGGGCTCGTTTTCCTTTTCATGGGCTTTCTTCCTTTCCCAGACTTGCTGATTTCCCGCCAGGGAGTCATATGCCAACACAGGCTCTCCCAGATCTACCAGGGAGCTTGTGGTATGAAACTTTTCAGGTCCAGGAAAAGATGAGATGGCCTTCTGACAGGGGGCCTCCCGTGCCTCTACAGTCTGTTGTCTCCCTGTCCCGTACTTCTGAGTTTTGAAGCAGCAGATTTTATTCTGCAGGCCAGATTTTTTAAAGGTAAAATGAACAATCAGATTGTGCAATAACAATTTGGCTATATGTGCTGTCTAAAAATGTGATGCTATTCACAAATATCATTTTGTCAGATGGAAAAGCAATTAATGTTCTTCTCTAGTTTAGCAAGACACTCTTAGCAGTGACTGTAACAAATGCAGACACAGAGGACGGATACTTAGAGGAGTCATGTATGGGAATTCTGATGGGAGTGCCACAGTGTGTATCCTCTCATCAGACAGTTTCTGCCTCGGCTGAGCTTTCAATACAGTCTTTTTTCCCCCTTTCTCTAGATTTTTATCCAGATTGTGGAAGCTTCCTCCGTGATCACTTGGGATTTTGATGTTTGCAAAGGTGACATTGTTTTCAACATTTATCACTCCAAAAGAGCACCACAGCCTCCGAAAAAGGACTCTTTAGGGGCCCACAGTATTACCTCTCCTGGTGGCAATAATGTACAGCTGATAGACAAAGCCTGGCAGCTGGGGCGAGATTACAGTATGGTGGAGTCTCCACTTATCTGTAAGGAAGGAGAGAGCGTGCAGGTGAGAACAATGAGCGCAATCTGTACTCTTGATTTGTGACAAAATGCTACCAGAGGCCATCTGAAAATAAGGCATTCCAAGCATTCCAAGCTTCTCAGTAATGGCAGTCAAAGGTAACAGGTGAAATGAGATCTGGAAAAACATTTAAGCTACAACAAAAACATTGTAATAATGTGGAATCTATAAAGACTGATGGTTTGTCTCATTTGAAGTCTACATCAGTCAGGTGATGGACACTAGCCTGCAGAGCACCAAATCTAGAGCATGTCTTATTAATGCTTTTATTGGAAATTATCTTAGGATAGTCCTTCTCAAACAGTTTTACTTCTGGTCCCCCCACCCCTGTAAATGTCTTTGTCCTCTGCCTCCACTCTAAATCATATGCAAACCATCTGATTCATTCAGAGATCCTTGTACAGTATGTGTATTGGCCTCTTATAAGGATATGTTCACTGGGAGGTATATCCAACTCAGCAAGGTACCATCAGTTGCTCCTCAAAAACCATAAGAAGAAACCAATAAAACAAAGCTTAATTTTATTCTGGGGAATGATTTGTGGTAGGTTACTCTGACAGATAAACTATGAGCACCACAAAACTGAGAGTTGAGGTACCTCTCCTAGGGAAAACATTTTATCCATCTGCATCTTGGCATGAGACGGGAGGAAGACTGTATCAGGATCTGTCCTTAAAGTGGTGTACCCCTAAGAGTTAGTGCAGCTGAATATCAGTCCCTTTCAGAATCTCTCTCTTAAGTGCCTCTGTAAATCTTAAAAGTGTTATGCGAAAAACAGTACAGTGGTGCCTCGCTAGATGATGTTAATCCGTTTCATTGGAATCGCTGTCTTGTGAAAACATGGTTTAGCGAAAAGCGTTTCCCCATTGGAATGTATTGAGACCCATTTAATGCGTTCCATTGGGGGAAAATAGTCATCGTCTAGCGAAAATCTCCCATAGGGAAGCCATTTTGTGAAGCGCCGATCAGCTGTTTAAATCGCTGTCTTGCGAAGCATCGGTCCCGAAAACACCCATTTTATGAAGATCTCCCATAGGGAAGCCATTTTACGAAGCTGCCGAGCAGCTGTAAAAATCATTGTCTTGCAAAAAACGGTTTGCGAAGCACAGACCAAATCATCGTCCAGCGAAATCCCCCATAGGAAAAACCCTTTTGCAAATCGCTATAGCGATCGCAAAAAGTCAACGTCTTTTAAAAAAACGTTTTGCGGGGTAATTGTCTTGTCAAATTTCAAGCAAATTTCTAAAAACCATAGCTGTCCCAAATAGTAATGATGCCAAGACCCATGTCCTGACCTGCCTTAGTACTTGAGCACTGCACACAAAATCATTTTCTCCTGTACAGAGAACAAGAGAAATGATCATACCTTTTTACCTATGCAGCGAATTTTGAATAGTATTGACCAAATTGGCATATTTTTTAAAATCTTCTTAAAGTAGGTAATAATGTAGGGAATTCACATGCCTCGTCCAAAGCTGTGTTCAGGTGTTTGTTGCTCTGCATGAGTGGAGGAAGCTGGTGAATATGTTCTGTCACTCTTCCGCTCCTGTTTTGCTTGTGTTGCTAGGGAAGATCCAGAATGGAGTTGTCATAGGAATAGGATTCGATGCATTCAAAAGTTCTGATAACATGGAGAGTTTGACATGAAAAGAGAGGAGCTGAAGCATGCATTGCGAGCTTCTGCTACTCATACAGAGTAACACATATGTGAATGTGTATGCCTTTTAAGCCAGATGGGCGGGGTATTTAATGAAATATCCATGTTGTTCCCTCACAAAATAGTTTCCCAGCACTATTATAACCCACTAATCCCCAAAGGAGCAAGAGAAGTCTCTTGATCTATGTAAGACATATTTCCGTTTGAGCCCCTCTGACCCCTATCAGGTCAGTTGGTTTCCCGTCTTCCATTCTCTGTTCCAGAGAAATGAGAATGAAGGAGTTTGTGACAGAACAGGATCTATTAAATCAGATGAGGACTTACGAACAACAGCATTGAACTGTCCCAAACTAGTTCACTTCATTCTTTGGTTACACAGTTTTGAGTCCTTCCCTTCTGGGTGTTCACCTCCAGTAACTAGT